GAATCGTTTGAACCCGCATTTGAACTCCAACCATCAATACAATTCTATCAATTCAATTATCTCAACAAATACTCAGTAAACAAGAAAACAAACAAAAAAAAATGTTGGATTTTACAATACATCCTCATCACAGAGTGCTTCTGAAAAGAATTTGAATTAATAGGTATGAGATTATCTCATGTCATTTTAGGTCCTAAAAGATGTCCTCAACAAAGAAGCAACTCACAATCAAAAATCAAGACAAGGGACGCGGTCTTCTAAATTTGGCACACCTCCAAACTTAAGTGCAAAGGCTTGTAGATTCTTTCACCACATAGACTAATTCATATAATTCAAGTTACATCACAACCACTCTTAACTCAAAAATAACTCATTCAATGCATGCATATAAATGATCAACATTAAGAACATCTGGCTAAACACTAAACCATTTCAGCAATGATTTCACCTCTAAATTAACAATTCACTAAATAATCATTGTTTACTACTACATGAGTCATCAAAGAACTCAGAGATTGTCACCTTGGAAACAAACCATAAAGCAAAGAGAGCATATAGGAACAAAGCATTGGGTACTTATAGACCACAAATTTTAGATTAGACTTGGTTTTTAAGTGATTGTCTTCTTCACAGTCTCCTCCAATCAAGTTGACATGGCTTGAATCTTGACGGTTCCCATTGTTCTTGGGCCATTGAAGGTAAATATCATCGTACTCCTACTTAAATTTAAAATGAAATGTGAGTCCATATATCTATTTACATTACTAATCTGATAGAAAACATTACAATAACTATAGATTAGAAAGAGAAACAAATTGATAAGACCACAAACCATTTAATCCAAAATCATTGCATGCACACAATAAGTAAAACTGACAAAAAAGTGATAGGATCCATATATTTTAATAAACTAATTTCATCAATAAAATCATAAATTAAACATTTCATAACATTAAAGAACACCACCAAGAAACAACGAATAACAATAGCACAAAGAAATAAACGAACATATTATAAGAAAAATTGAAGTAGGGAAAAAACAATGGGAATTGTGTTGTAGTGAGCTCAAATTACATAATAATATAATTGAAAAAATTCCGAATTAAGGAGAGGGCGAAGAAATTGGGGGAGCAAATTTTTAACTTGTTTTTGAGTTCGACGATTATGGGATTATTGCAAGCGAATTGGAGGCGGACGTCATCCTCTGTAGTCCCATAGTGGTTGGTTGGTTTAAATCAAAGGAAAATAAGTGGAGAAGAGAAGGGTGAGGGAGAAGTAGGAGATGAAGGGTGGGGGTGGGGGTGGGGGTTCATCTTTCACACTTTCCATTGAAGAGGCGATGGAAGCTAGAAGGGCAAACGGCTGAAAAATTGGGAGAGAAAGAGAGACAAAGTTAACGGGTGAGAATTAATTGGAGTGTGTAGCATTTAGACACAGTTAAGACAAAGTTAAGAGTGTATAGCATTAACATAGAGCTATCAGGTGAGAAGCAATTGGAGTCTATTGGAGTGTGAAGCATTAAGACAGAGTTAAGAGTGTATAGNCTATCAGGTGAGAAGCAATTGGAGTCTATTGGAGTGTGAAGCATTAAGACAGAGTTAAGAGTGTATAGCATTAAGAAGAGTTAACGAGTGAGAAGCAATTGGAGTTTGTAGCATTAATCATGAGGGATAAGGATGACATAATTGTAATTTTGAGGGACAGAGGTAAAAAATATATATTTTTCAAGTATTCAGATATTTTAAAATAATATATATATATATATATATATATATATATATAATGTAATATTTATAACACTTTTAATATTATAATTTTGATNAAAAAAAATTCAATTCTATATATTAGCAAGACTATCCTCCTTAAACTCTCACTAAGCGTGAAATAGGAAATCAAAATCAAGTAACATCGATGTCAATTTAGATTGCCCACTAATCAATAACTTTTAACATCAATAATTGATTCTTTTTTCTCACTAAACTTGCATGTCATGAAACATGCAGTTCTAAATTGTAAGGTACACCACAAAAGTAATTTTTGGAACCAAGTTATTTAGTGAATGTATACAAAACTATGTCATCAAAAGAAATATATATAGTAGTACAAATATCTTAGGTTTTTGTCTTCTTCAATGGTATTCCTTCAAGGCCTCTACACTGCCCTTGATGATGAAATAAATTCATCAAAGGGACAGATGAGGAACTTGGGTAGTTGCAGAGATGTAATATACAAAATTAGACTGCTAGTTAGTGAAGATTAATCCAAAAGGGAAATTATTATTGTTTGTACATGGGGTTCTTCCTTTAATGTATCCTATCAAATGACTAAAACAAGAACTATTAACTAGTTAACCATTTAGTGTGTCTATTAATGAAAGCATGTAATATAACTTAAGTAAAAAAACACCATGGTAAAGAACACAAGCAAAAAAATTGTAATATATAATATAATTCACTCACCTACATGACCTTATCCAGTAGCAAAATTCATTGAATCGTTTGAACCCGCATTTGAACTCCAACCATCAATACAATTCTATCAATTCAATTATCTCAACAAATACTCAGTAAACAAGAAAACAAACAAAAAAAAATGTTGGATTTTACAATACATCCTCATCACAGANTAATTCTATCAATTCAATTATCTCAACAAACACTCAGTAAACAAGAAAACAAGAAAACAAACAAAAAAAAATGTTGGATTTTACAATACATCCTCATCACAGAGTGCTTCTGAAAAGAATTTGAATTAATAGGTATGAGATTATCTCATGTCATTTTAGGTCCTAAAAGATGTCCTCAACAAAGAAGCAACTCACAATCAAAAATCAAGACAAGGGACGTGGTCTTCTAAATTTGGCACACCTCCAAACTTAAGTGCAAAGGCTTGTAGATTCTTTCACCACATAGACTAATTCATATAATTCAAGTTACATCACAACCACTCTTAACTCAAAAATAACTCATTCAATGCATGCATATAAATGATCAACATTAAGAACATCTGGCTAAACACTAAACCATTTCAGCAATGATTTCACCTCTAAATTAACAATTCACTAAATAATCATTGTGTACTACTACATGAGTCATCAAAGAACTCAGAGATTGTCACCTTGGAAACAAACCATANACAATGATTTCACCTCTAAATTAACAATTCACTAAATAATCATTGTTTACTACTACATGAGTCATCAAAGAACTCAGAGATTGTCACCTTGGAAACAAACCATAAAGCAAAGAGAGCATATAGGAACAAAGCATTGGGTACTTATAGACCACAAATTTTAGATTAGACTTGGTTTTTAAGTGATTGTCTTCTTCACAGTCTCCTCCAATCAAGTTGACATGGCTTGAATCTTGACGGTTCCCATTGTTCTTGGGCCATTGAAGGTAAATATCATCGTACTCCTACTTAAATTTAAAATGAAATGTGAGTCCATATATCTATTTACATTACTAATCTGATAGAAAACATTACAATAACTATAGATTAGAAAGAGAAACAAATTGATAAGACCACAAACCATTGAATCCAAAATCATTGCATGCACACAATAAGAAAAACTGACAAAAAAGTGATAGGATCCATATATTTTAATAAACTAATTTCATCAATAAAATCATAAATTAAACATTTCATAACATTAAAGAACACCACCAAGAAACAACGAATAACAATAGCACAAAGAAATAAACGAACATATTATAAGAAAAATTGAAGTAGGGAAAAAACAATGGGAATTGTGTTGTAGTGAGCTCAAATTACATAATAATATAATTGAAAAAAATCCGAATTAAGGAGAGGGCGAAGAAATTGGGGGAGCAAAGTTTTAACTTATTTTTGAGTTCAACGATTATGGGATTATTGCAAGCGAATTGGAGGCGGACGTCATCCTCCGTAGTCCCATAGTGGTTGGTTGGTTTAAATCAAAGGAAAATAAGCGGAGAAGAGAAGGGTGAGGGAGAAGTAGGAGATGAAGGGTGGGGGTGGGGGTGGGGGGTTCATCTTTCACACTTTCCATTGAAGAGGCGATGGAAGCTAGAAGGGCAAACGGCTGAAAAATTGGGAGAGAAAGAGAGACAAAGTTAACGGGTGAGAATTAATTGGAGTGTGTAGCATTTAGACACAGTTAAGACAAAGTTAAGAGTGTATAGCATTAACATAGAGCTATCAGGTGAGAAGCAATTGGAGTCTATTGGAGTGTGAAGCANTTATCAGGTGAGAAGCAATTGGAGTCTATTGGAGTGTGAAGCATTAAGACAAAGTTAAGAGTGTATAGCATTAAGAAGAGTTAAACGGGTGAGAAGCAATTGGAGTTTGTAGCATTAATTATGAGGGATAAGGATGACATAATTGTAATTTTGAGGGACAGAGGTAAAAAAAAAATATTTTTCAAGTATTTAGATATTTTAAAATAATATATATATATATATAATGTAATATTTATAACACTTTTAATATTATAATTTTGATGATCATTATGTTTAGAGGCNATATATATATATATATAATGTAATATTTATAACACTTTTAATATTATAATTTTGATGATCATTATGTTTAGAGGCTTATAAAAAAGATCTGAAAGAAATATAAGGTAAGAATACCAATTCTCTAATATTTCTATATTTTATTTAATTTCTATCTCTATATTCTTAGATTTATAATACGCCAACTAAATTATCAAACCACCTAGGGAACACAAAGAACCTTTACTTTCCCGCCATGTTCCCAAAATCCTCGTACGCATTCCAACGTCCCAACCTTTCAACCCTGAAATTCTCATATCGGAGCTCATGAAAATCCTTCCGATTGTCCAACCATGGTTTCTTAAACAAAACCTAGAAAATTTTTCTTAACCATTCCCGTTCAAGCCTTTCCCTCGATCTCCTCTATTTCTCGCTCAAATTTAGGGTTTCCGAACTAATTATCGGAATCGGAATTCCATTTCCTCTGTGCTCGGTGAAAATCGTTCTTAGGGTTTTTACATAATGCCGACGTTGTGCTGGAGACACCACACTCTTATTCAAGCTCTGCTATCAAGGGGTCCTCTTAAGGAAGAAGAGTTCCATTCCATCTTTTCCTACGTTACAGGGAAAAGCTCAGGTTAGGATTTTCCTACTTTTCGCTGACTTTCAGTTTCTTCGAGTACGCAACGAAGCTTTGTTTTTGTATTATTTATATTTTGATATGTTTGAGTATGAGTCATTGGTGTGCTTTTATGGATGTAGGAAGCTTTAAAAAATCGAAAATTTGAATCTGAATTTTTTTAGATTTTTGGACCAAGATAGATTTTTAGTGGCTAGAGTTTTGCAATTTTTGAAAATCAAAATGGAACAATTGTTTTTTTTTTTTTCTTGGGAAAATGGAACAATTGTTGTTTAAATGGAAGAAAGAGGGAAATCAGGAGTAGACTGTATGGATTGCTGTGAAAGTTGAATTTGTCTGTTGTGTTTTTGGCGTGAAGTGCTCTGAAAAGTGGATTTGTTTGGATTTTATATCAACCACCCTTCACTTTCCATAGATGGCGCTACCAACCTAATTATGTTGTTGGGTAAACTTTCATTTTAAGAGACGAGCCACTAGGCGGTGTTTTCACTTACTGCTGGCCTCAACAAAGGGTTTGATTTTGCAGTTATAGGGATTTCCACATCTTAAACAACCACTAGCATCTATATGCTTAACAGAGCATGTTGGAATCATTCAATTTCTTTCATTTTTGCTTGATTAACTGGTATATAGGGGCTGCCCTACACTAGACGGATAACTTGCTTTTACTTCTTATCTGATCAACTAAAATTAGGTCGGGTCATAAAGCTCTGAGATTATATTATGTGTGTATGTGTGTTTTTTTATGTTCTTTCTTCTGAAGTCTCTAAGGATTCTCAAACAAATGTTATTAAAAAATATTCTTTCTCCATCAAAAGCATCAGTCCACATAATGACATCGATGGCTTAACCCACCGCCTCAACTTCTTCGTTGGATGTTCAAGTTTTGATGTGTTGGACTACCTCTAATTTATTGGTTGAAAAAGGCAATTGATTCTGGTCAAGGCTCAGAAATATTTATACAATATGGCATCTCAAGTTTATGTTTCTATGATAAATTACCTTGTTCAATTTTCTTACCCAGATTGTTACCCCGGAGCAGTACTCTTGAGATACTTAAGAAAGTGTGGGTTCTAGTATTGTTTGTGGTTATTATAATAAAAGTGGAAGAATCATCAGTGGTATGTAAATGTTTATAAGGAGTTTAGAGTACTAATTGAAAGCTTCTTATCAGACAATTGTTTATATAAGTTGTCATTTTTCAGCTGCTCATCTGCCGTTGTTCAAAGATTACCTTTTAAAGATAAATAGGGAGCTTTCCAGTGTTCAATTCGAGTTGCGGGCATGTAGAAACCAATACAATGGCGACGTATATTATGGAATAGTCAATAATGTGGCAGATGAACAGTCCAAGCTTGGAACCAACTATACAGTTCCTCAAATTGCTTTTTATAAGGGCATTGTAAGTTTCAGCTAATTCTTGTGTTATTTTTTTAGTTTTTGGTAATTATTAAAAACTTTGCCAGTTTACAGTGTTCAGTGAATACTTTGAACATGGTAAAAGTAAAAACATGGGGAGGAAATTCATGAAAGCACTTAGGTCATGTGATCCTTGCATGGTGCACACATCAAGAAGGGGAATAGGAAATCATAGTGGGTATTCAAAAAAGATAGATAAACTATAGAAGCTAATCTGAAATTGGGGAATAAAAATTTATCAAAATAGCAGAGACAATTTAATTAAATTACACTTGCATATCCAGCCTGAGCACGGTTCCTCAAAGTTTTATTTTAACACTAATGAGTCTCCTGAGACAATAAGAATATGAGGTTGAAGGTACAGGTACCAGCTCTTGTGTATATACATATACATATACATATATTTATATATACAAAAGAAAACCAGAAAGGAGCAATTCCAGGACTAACACCAAATTATATGTATATATAATTTCTAGTTGATTTCTAGCTGTCTCCTTGTTGATTTCTAGTTGTCTAATGGAGACGTAATGGTTGATGAGTTGGAAAGAGGGGGCTATTGGTATGTGAGGTGGCTCTCCTCTATATCTTCCAGTGCATTTGCAACTGGAGGAGTGTTTGCTCTTTTGATGGGTGGATTCTGCATTCAGTATTTGAAGCGGGAGGATTGAGTTCATTTTTCAGCTGGAGTCCTCTTTTGATTGTGTTATGGATTCTGCAGTAATTTTATTGGTCATTAGCTGAGGTCATTTATTTTTTTGCTATAGTGAGTTTCTTATACACAACACCTATACTTGGGATTTCAACTCTTGGTGTTTATGAATACATGAGTTTCTTATACACAACACCTATACTTGGGATTTCAGCTCTTGGTGTTTATGAATACATAAAAAAGTTAATGTGATAAATACAAATATTTGTCTGGTATAGAAACTCATGTTCTTGCCCTGACGTTTAGTGTAGATTTTGTAATCCTACATTTTATACATTTCTCACTTGTCTAGACATGACTGGACTTTTCTCACCTGTGACACTTTTTGTGTTTTCCTTGGAAGAGCAAGAAAAAACACTACATTGTGTTGGCTCTCTCAGTTTGGGATGCTAGTGGGATGGATTGGGTGTGAAGTGGCTGCCTTTAGTAGAAACATCCCCAAGTTTGACATCTTGAACTTTTATAATTATACCTAGTTATAGCCCCCTTTCCTTAAAAGGAACAGAACATATTTAAAGTAATAAAGGTGTTAGCGTAGTTGACATTAATTAAGTGCTCTCAGTTGATGCATAGAGAAATGTGTTGGGATTGTCTGTGCAATTGATAAAATGGACAATTTTTTTAGCTTGCTGCCTTGTTAAAAACTTGATTTGTTGGGTTGACGAATAGGCTAAACAACTTGTTCTCATTTGTATCTTGAAGTTTCTTTCATACAGATGATTTTAGAGTGGATGATATATCTCAGTCATTATGTGACAAAAAAAAAGGTAGATGATATAATCTTTGGTATTTAGTGGGAGGGTTGTTACACAACTTGTTCTCATTTGATATCTTGAAGTTTCCTTCATACAGATGACTATAGAGTGGATGATATATCTCAGTCATTATATGACAAAAAAAGAGGTAGATGATATAATCTTTGGTATTTAATGGGAGGGGTGTTGCACAACTTGTTCTCATTTGATATCTTGAATTTTTCTTCGTATAGATGACTTTAGAGTGGATGATATATCTCAGTTATTACAAGACAAAAAAAGAGGTAGCTGATATAATCTTTGGTATTTAGTGGGAGGGGTGTTACATTATATGGAAAACAAATGCTTGTTAGTGGTATATCATTGGGAATGGTCATAAGGCTAACTTATGGAATTTTACTTCTCCTTTCCAATTTTTACTGGGGAAGACAAACTCTAAACGTAATTAAGTGGGAAAGTTTTTTCACTTAGATCTTTCTATGCGCATGAAAATTTTTAGCAAGGTGCACATATGATAGATCGTATCTGTAAACATGGAAATTTGATATCAAACACATCAATATATTCTGTTACAATTTGACCGGTATAAATACTCAACCCTCACCTTCCCAGTTTAACAGTTTGCTACACTGTAGCAGCAAATACATTTCAATTCATTATATTAGCATTTGACCAGTGTAAAATTCAACCTTTTCCAGTTTAAGAGTTTGCTATAAAATGGCACTGGTGTCTAGTTTATATGTACAGGTGTTCTAATGAATCTATAAACAGCATGCCACATCTGAAATTGATGTTTTGTTCACTTATTGTTGTCTTTTGCTCCGATTCCTGTAGAACATTTGAGCTAGTGAGTAGAAAAAATTCTTTACATTTTTGCATTGTGCTTGTGTTTGTATTTTACTCTAGAGTATTTACTACTTCAGGAAATCTTTCATATTAATGAACTAGTTATTGTCTGTGCCTGAAGGCACAGAGTAATAAAAAATAGTAAACAATAAACATATTTATATTCATATCAAAAATCAAATTACAAACATAGAGGAGAGATAAATGAATTTAAGTATTGGTTGTAGTGGGGGTGAGAGGTGGTGGGCAACAATGGTGGTGGTAGGAGACGGTGATAGTTATGGTGAGTGGCAATGACCGTGGTGGCGGTGGTGGTGGTAAGAGACGATGATAGCTGTGGTGGGTGACAATGACCGTGGTGGCGATGGCGACGGTGGTGGTTGTTGTGAGTAGCAATGACCGTGGTGGCGGTGGTGGTAAGAGACAGTGATGGTTATGGTGGGTCACAATGATCGTGGTGGTGGTGTCGGCAATGGCGGCAGCGATGGCGGTGACGGCGACAATGGTGGTGGCGATGGCGACGGCAACGATGGTGGTGGCGGCAATGGTGGTGGTTGTGGTGGTGATGGNGAGACCTATTATCAACGTTCTAGCTTGTACCAGACAATTTTGAGGTAAATAGAGATCCATCACACTGTCAGCTATTGGCATCGTGTCTAATCTTGTGTAAAATAAAAAGAACTGTGTGCTTAACTTGTTATATCATTGAAAGAAATGCAAAAATGGAGCAACTCTACTTGCCCTTTAATTGTAGTAAGCGTGACTAATCGTGGAAATTTGTTTTCTTTTTCTATTGGGCTTTTTGAATCTTAGATAAGAAAAAGAGCAATGTTATTGGGACCTAAAAATCTGACATAATTTGTTGACATAATGATGTAGCTTCACTATAATTTTTGGATGAACACTAAATTTTAATATTTGATAGAGTTTGCAGTCAATTTAAATGTCATAATGAAGTCACATTATTATATTAATAAATTATGTTAAATTTTTAAATTCCAATATCATTACTCAATCAAAGTCATTGTTCTAGGACCAATAATATATCTAAACCCATTGTCTATAATTTTATATTGATGAGTGTGGTTTTATTTGTACGATGGGTCCATAAAATATGTACAGCTAGCATTAAAACTGTTGTTTTATGCGTTTATTAATAGTTTCACTTTCTAGCATTGAAAAGTGGAGTAAATTAACGGATTTCTGTTCTCCTCTTTAATGGAGACAGTTTGTTAGCTTTTTCCAATTTTCCTTGGAGCATGACATTTCAACGTTTGAATTATTTTATTCAATTTGAGACAATTAGAGAGATTATTAAATAATATTAAATGGGCTCTTAGTTCTTATAATTTGGTGTCACCGTATCATCACCTTGGTGTCATTAGTCAATAAGTAGTAAACAAATGGATAAAGTGAGCCTTATTTTTATATATGTTGTATTTTGAATGTGTAAATCAACGTGGTGCAGACTTATGGTTGTGAGTAGATGAAATGATCAGTAACTGGTTCTTAGGATTTGAGCTTCAAAGCTCGAAAGAGCGAAGACTAGCATAAAAAAAAATGGAAAATTGAGAGATTGACACAATAGAATTATAGTAGTTCACCAGCTTAGGAGTTCGGTTAATCTACTCTTCAATAGAGATTTTTGCTCTTTTTTCCTTTTCTTCTTATTAAGAAAGTTTACAAGATACAATATGTGTTACTTGGGTTCTCCCCTTCCCTTGTTGGAGTTACATAATATTTATAGGGTTGTTTCTAGTTCTGTGGGATCTGTCCCGAGATTCTCGCTATTTATCCGAGAAATCCTCTTTGATTTTAGGAGAGGATCCTGGCTATTTAAGGATTTTGTTCCTTAAATATGGCTATTTGCCACCTATAAGATTTTTGTTGTCATCCAGCGGCTCCCTTATCCTTTCCATTGTTGGCATGTCTGGGGGGAGCTCTAGTTCTGATCCACTGAGCTCTACGCATCTTTCCTGACCTCTTGATCTAACCTGCTTTTCCGACCTCCNTTTCACAAATAGAGTCGTAATCTCCCCAACTACTATTTTGTTCCGAATAAAGTGACAATCAACCTTAATATGTTTGGTTGTCACGTAAAACACTGGATTAATAGCGGTATGGATAGCTGTTTGGTTGTTACAGAACAATTGTAAAGGAGGTTGAACTAGAAACTCAATTTCCTGGAGAAAGTGTAGTAGCCAAGTCAACTCACTTGTCATATACGCCATTGCCCTAGACTCAACCTCAGCACTAGATCTTGTTACCACAAATTGTTTCTTAATTTTCCATGAGACAACGTTACCTCTTAAGAAAGTACAATAACCAGTGGTTGATCTTCGATTAGAAGGAGAGTCAGCCTAATCAGCATCTATGAAACCTTCTACTCTAAGATGTCCATTAGCTCAATATAACAGTCCAAGTTCAGAAGTTCGTTTGAAATATCGCAGAATACAAGTAATTGCCTCCCAATGTGGTAGGACACTCTATGAACTGACTTACTATATTGACTGCATAGGAAATATCCGATCGAGTAATAGTGAGATAATTGAGGTTCCCAACCAATCTGCGATACCGACCCAAATTCTCAAACAATGCACCATCATCCATCACTAGTTTTTGATTCGGATCTATAGGAACATCAATCGGTCTGCTACCTAGTAAACCTGTGTTCCTCTAGTTTGTCAAGTAAATATTTCCTCAGTGATAAACAAATATCCTGTTTAGATCGAGTTACTTCAATTTTCAAGAAATATCCTTTTAGTCCCTTTTGGTTTGACCTTGTGGCACTTCACCCACGTGTGGTTTTGGACCAATATGAACAACCAACAACGCTGACAGAACTGATAAAATGGCATTGATATTTCTTTCCTCTTCTCATTGATTTTGCTTTAATATTTTGTAGAACTCTCAGCTCAGTTGCTGCCATCAGAATGATTTTTTGAATCTAATTTTATTTATGAGAGAGAATGATACAGACTAATATTAAAAAAATAAATAAAAAGTAAGCATACCTAGGTTGAGATCAGACTGCTCACTTGCCACAACGATGAACAAGAAGAACACAATAGCCATAACCCATTAAAGCGTTTTTCTAGGTAACAAATCCCATGTAAAGACCATTAAGTTATATTTGAACCACAAGTGCTACGTGGCTAAACCATGAGGGAAAACATAATGTTCTTAGATTTCTTGTCTGAGATAAGTCAAGAAGGCTATGCTCTCCCACAGTTTACTAACAATTCTTGCCATTCCGTTGAATCTAAGTAAAATATTGAAACTTCTCGCACTCCTTAAAGTATTGGAGGATTGATCATTTGTTCTTTATATGTCTGTAGTCCTCGGTATAATGCATGTCGCTTAGCTTTATAAGTCTTAGTCAGGGGTCTTGGCTCTTCGTTCTAGGTCATCACAATCCACCCCTTTTAGGACCATACTTCCTCGTGCGAGACTTGTCCCATATTTTTGGTTGGTGCTAGCTATGATACCATTTTTATTATTCTGGACCCTCAATTGTATAATATTTTCTGCTTTGGGTTAGGTTCATATGACCTTAAAATATGTTGTAGAATTTTTGTGACTCACAATTGTAAAGCACTTCACACACACTTCATCAAGCAATGTGCCAAGTACATGAATTTGGTACAATCACTTCACCTCTTCCATATTGATTTCAAGCCTAATAAAGATTATTAGGTCTTGGGTCACCACAATCCACCTTCTTAGGGCTATACGTTCTTGTATGAGACCCCTCCGGGCCTCCCACATTTTTTACACTGGCATCCTTGTCATATAGTTCTCATGAATTTGATTCTATTCATGCAACTGTTTGCTTGAAATTTTTTTCTATGATTTTCCAGGTTCCAACTGCAACAGATTCACAATCACAGGGTGGTTCAACTCATATTCCTCCTGCATTCAAGAATTTCTCATTGTCACAAAAGGAAAAAACTCTGGAAGAACTTGTGCGAGACCAATGGCTTTGTTCAACCCTTGATAATAAAATTGGACTTGGTGTTAGATCGTTCCTCGATCTAAGAAGTTGGTTTTATAATAATGATGTTGCTGCATGTGAGGTTTGCAATGAGGCTGGAGTGAAGGTTGTTATCTTTTCGTATATTCTTTTTTCCACACCACTTGACAAACTTTTTGATCTGTTTGAAGTTTGAGGTTTGTCTATCAGATGCAAGCATTTTATGCATCTTTTAATTGATGAGTTCATTTAGGATGCAGTTTAACAAAGAGGTTTGAACATCAATGAACTGGTAACTCTTTTTTGTATTAGAACAAGCTGGAAATGATCTTGTGGCTTGTAGTTTTGATTGCTCTTTTTCCTTTTGTAAGGTTCTCATTGGCCAGTCTCGTGTTGGACCTCTTGTGCACACTTGACGTTGGTTTTTTTGTATATGTTTCCCTTTATTATTATTAATAAAGTGTGGTTTCCCATAAAAAAAAAATGATTCTTCCTTAGGGTCCGGAAGTTAGCATTTCATAGCCTGGGGATAATCTACTGGGGATTACATGCATACATTTCCATTTTTGTTGCAGTAAAATGAAATTTAACAGTGAGCATTCACGTGTAAATGGTAGTAAAAATCCCCTGTCTACTATATTTAGCTGTTACTCAAATTATTTTAAGTAGTTCTTCATTAAGTTGTTATTATGTTGGTTTCAATTTTCACCATCTTCTTTTTCTCCTCGCATTTTCTGGTAAAAATTTATGCTGACAATCTGTGGCTAATTGTACTTGGAGTGTCCATATGTTGAACGATTATACCTATAGTCTCGTATTAGAATATGATTCCGACTATATATCCTAAGATACTAAAAAAAACTCTGGTACATATGAGATACACCTGCTATAAAGTTATTGTTTGCTGCTTCTGTTGAATCATGTTTATTGTTTTGAGCAGGCAGAGTTTTGCGGAAAGGAGGGTTGTACTGTTCGAATTCATGAGTATTGCCTGAAAAAGAAATTCTCCCAAAGAGGGGTATCTGTGTGATTTTTCATCTTGTCTGTTATTTTGCAATTAACCATTGAGCTTGATGAACTCAATTAATTTGCTTAATCTATGATTTGCAGGTTGCAAGAGTTTGTCCAGGTTGTGGCACACAATGGAGTAATTCATTGCCCAAAGAAGAAGCCATAGAAGAGAATGATGAAAATGGTCCCTCTCAGAACCACCCACCTCCGGTACCCTACATGAGAAAAAGGCCTAGAACCCGTCAAACTGTTGATGATACTGTTGGATCTGATCCCTCCCAACCTTCAGCACCCGTTTCTGATGCAAAGAGGATAACTCGAAGTTCTGCCCGGCTGAGAAGTGCTACTTAAATACATTTGGTTTTTGTTGGGCACTAAGGTACCAGCATTTCCAGTGTATATTACGTGGAATCATGCATATGGAATGCTTGCAAACTCTGTTTTGGAGACCTATTATCAACGTTCTAGCTTGTACCAGACAATTTTGAGGTAAATAGAGATCCATCACACTGTCAGCTATTGGCATCGTGTCTAATCTTGTGTAAAATAAAAAGAACTGTGTGCTTAACTTGTTATATCATTGAAAGAAATGCAAAAATGGAGCAACTCTACTTGCCCTTTAATTGTAGTAAGCGTGACTAATCGTGGAAATTTGTTTTCTTTTTTTATTGGGCTTTTTGAATCTTAGATAAGGAAAAGAGCAATGTTATTGGGACCTAAAAATCTGACATAATTTGCTGACATAATGTAGCTTCACTATGACTTTTGGATTAACATTAAATTTTAATATTTGATAGAGTTTGCAGTCAATTTAAATGTCATAATGAAGTCACATCATTATATCAATAAATTATATTAAATTTTTAGGTTCCAATAACATTACTCAATCAAAGTCATAGTTCTAGGACCAATAATATATCTAAACCCATTGTCTATAATTTTATATTGATGAGTGTGGTTTTATTTGTACGATGGGTCCTTAAAATGTGTACAGCTAGCATTACAACTGTTGTTTTATGCGTTTATTAATAGTTTCACTTTCTAGCATTGAAAAGTGGAGTAAATTAACGGATTTCTGTTCTCCTCTTTAATGGAGACAGTTTGTTAGCTTTTTCCAATTTTCCTTGGAACATGACATTTCAACGTTTGAATTATTTTATTCAATTTGAGACAATTAGAGAGATTATTAAATAATATTAAATGGGCTCTTAGTTCTTATAATTTGGTGTCACCGTATCATCACCTTGGTGTCATTAGTCAATAAGTAGTAAACAAATGGATAAAGTGAACCTTATTTTTATATATGTTATATTTTGAATGTGTAAATCAACGTGGTGCAGACTTATGGTTGTGAGTAGATGAAATGATCAGTAACTGGTTCTTAGGATTTGAGCTTCAAAGCTCGAAAGAGCGAAGACTAGCATAAAAAAAAATGGAAAATTGAGAGATTGACACAATAGAATTATAGTAGTTCACCAGCTTAGGAGTTCGGTTAATCTACTCTTCAATAGAGATTTTTGCTCTTTTTTCCTTTTCTTCTTATTAAGAAAGTTTACAAGATACAATATGTGTTACTTGGGTTCTCCCCTTCCCTTGTTGGAGTTACATAATATTTATAGGGTTGTTTCTAGTTCTGTGGGATCTGTCCCGAGATTCTCGCTATTTATCCGAGAAATCCTCTTTGATTTTAGGAGAGGATCCTGGCTATTTAAGGATTTTGTTCCTTAAATATGGCTATTTGCCACCTATAAGATTTTTGTTGTCATCCAGCGGCTCCCTTATCCTTTCCATTGTTGGCATGTCTGGGGGGAGCTCTAGTTCTGATCCACTGAGCTCTACGCATCTTTCCTGACCTCTTGATCTAACCTGCTTTTCCGACCTCCGCGTCTGGGCTCCTAATTGAAATTTTTCTAAGTATCATCAGTTGCCTCCCAGCCCTTAGTCCAAGTGAACTTGGGCAGGGGCTGAGCTGTGGCTTGATTAAGGCAGACCTCCAAATATAGACTTCGATTTACGTGCAAACAGATTTTTGACTATTTCAGACAATCATTTAATTTCTTGGTTTCTCGTGCACGTTCCCAATTCTGTATCGTTAGCTTTAAATGCCCCTAGACCAACGGCTCCCTCCTCACTCTTTGAATTTTCTTTGGCTTTCCCTTCTTTATCTGCGATTCTATCTTCCCCAATTTGCTATTGTTCATAAGGCTTTTGCAGAGAGACGATTTTCTCTAATTTGACCAGAAAGCTTAGCGAGGTTTGTTTCTTCGTTTTTCGCTTCGAAGGATTATGTACGTTTCTTGTCCCTTTTGTTCTTCTTCGTCCTGGACCCCTCAAATTTGAGGTGGTTGTTACATTTTTGGACCTTTCGATTCTACTACTTTAGGAATAAAGGTCTATCTCTATCTCGTATTCCCTTTTTTAAGACCCTTATTCAACGGTTAGGGTTTTCCTTATTGGCAGTTGCTGTGTTGGCCTCCAGACCCTTAGAGAGTGTTTCGCAAATATTCCTCCCCTTTAGTCTCCCTTTCTCTTGGTCCAATATGTCTACTCCTTATGGAGCCACCCCCCTTGATTTCCCCCTTAGGGAATAGATCAGTTGAGGAGGATTTTGACCTAGGTAAGGTGGGTGAGGAGATTGACAAATTTTTCGGTGTCGATCTTGTTGGGTCTGAGGGAAACCCTGTGGAGATTCCCCCCTCTGCCTCTCCTGCGCCACAAAACCCCAACAAAAGTAAGGCCAAGGTAAGCGACACTGGTGACTCTGGTAGTGTTGAGGGTACGGGGGCTGCTTTTAGGACCGCAAAGCTTGCGGGTCCCAGCGAGGTCACTCTTTCCCTTATGAAACTTCTTGGTGTCCGTTTTCGTTTTCCTCCTGGAGTCCAATGTTGGTGTCCAGATAAGTTTATCCCATATGTCTCCCAAGTCCATAAGAAGGTCTGTTTTTTTGTGGCTGCTTTCGACAATAGCCTTCGTTTTCCAATACATGCCTTTATAAATAGTGTTTTGCAACACTTCAATATCTGCCCTACTCAGATCTCCCCCAACTTCTGGTGTGTTCTGGTGGGCTTTCTCGTTTTCTTTAAGAAGCATAAGCTTGGAGTTTCCACTGTTTCTTTGTTGATGGAGTATTTCAATGTTACCCCAACTGACGGTTTCCTGTATATTTCGAAATAGGTAAAAGTCAAAGCGATTATTTCTGACCTCCCAAGCTCTTACAAGGGTTGGAAGAAACTCTTCTTTTTCGTGGGGGGCAATCACTGGGAGTACAATCCTGCAGATAAATTAGATTCTCTTTCAATCCCTCGGGTCTGGAAAGCCCCAGACAACTTGGGTAAGTCCTCCTCTGAGTGAACTTGTATCTATTTTTGAGCTTTTTAGGCTGATCTCTTTTTGCTTGTTTTACCCTGCTTCTCAGGTATCCATCCTGAACTTAGTGCCACCGACGAGCGGATTTCGCGATCTTTGGAAGGTTGCAGCTCAAAGAGGTATTCTGAGCTCATTAAACGTTGGGTTCTTGTAACGGAAGGGTTTAGCCTCCCTGAAGTAACTATAGAAGCTCACATTCCCTTCTCTGTTGTTAGTGTAGAGGAGGCAGCCGATATATCCTGAATTCTCCTTTTCCACTTTCTCTCTTCTCACCTTTTTTTATATGTTCTTATATGTTTCTGGGCTCTCAGGGTCATCTATGATGAAGCCAACCATAACAGAGCTCCAAGCCAAACTTTCCCAGATGAAGAAGACTAGAAGTAGCGGTAAACGCAAGGTTGAGGTTGGATCAGGTAGTGAGGTTGCTCTTCCTACCAAGATACAGAAAATGGATGTGCCCCCCGGTTCCTCTACTTCTACTCCGACCTCAATCATTCATCCTTCTTTCAACCTGCAGGCCGCAGAGTGTTCTTTTCCCACAAGGTCTCTGCTTGTGCCCAGTAGGGTTCTTGAGCAAGGGTAGATCTCCCCAACCTCTTCTAAGGTCAATAGGGCCCTAGAAATGATTTCTCATTTCTTACCCACCCCCCGGCTCTCCTGTGACCACCGGGCAATTTCCCCCGTCGCTCCTTGCTGAAACCAATGTTGGGAAAGGAAAGATCCCCAAGGTGGAGAGTAACCTTGGCTCCTTCTTTGACAATATTAAGCTTGCTCCCAAGGCAATCAGCTCCATTATTCCTAAATCTGACATTCAAAGAACTTCATCCATGCCACTTGAGACTTCAATAAGCTCAGCCCTTCATGGAGCGACTGTTGTAGATGTCTATGTCTCTCTTTCTTCTTTTCCTGCACATTGTAATATAGTGCTAACCTTTGTCTCATTTGTTCTTGCTTTCAGTTAGCCCTCCATGTGAAGGATTTGATGGAGAGGATCCGCTCCTTGGAAAGTTCAGCCAAGGTCACAAAGGCCTTTGAGATCAAAGTTGCTGAGTTGTCTTTTAGCAACGAAGATCTTCGCATTCAAAATCAGGAGCTCCAGGAGCAGGTGGAGAAGCAAGCCTCCTTTATTCAGGATCTGGACGTAGGGAAAGAAAGAGCTGAAAACGCTGAGAAAAAGGCCGAAGAAGAGCTCGAGCTTAAGAACGATGCTTGGGTTAGAGCTAGTGAGAAAACTCTTGAGGCCCCGCGTTCTTTCAAGAATATGAAAAAGGAGTATGATAATGTAGCCAAAGCAAACGATACCATTTGCCAGGATCTTGGGGAAAAGAAGGCTACCATACTCTAAAGAGATGATGCAATATCCCAACCGAAGGAAGACATAGGCTAGCTGAAAGATGACGTATCTACGAAGTGGGTCACTGGGTGGCTTGCCTTCCAAGACATTGCTGAGAAAACATACCCTGATCTGAGCTTCGACTTTGACATCCCAGCTGAGGAGGAAGCGAAAGGAACTGCTACAGGGGACAAGAGCGAAGCCTTGGAGCCTTTTGATGCTGAGCTTCCTGAAGCAGATACATTGCTTGCCACTTCTGCTATTACTCCTTTTGTAGCTGACCTCGTTTCTCGGGCGCTGGCCTTTAGTTCGCCAACATCTGGTATCGAGGTCCCTATTTCTGGGGGTCCTGAGACTTTTTTCTACATACTTGCTTTGGATCCTTCAGGGGTTTCAACTGCTGAGATACCAGAGGCTCTATCTTCTGACCTTCCAGACCTTCCTGCTACTGAGCTACCAGATTCCACTGCTCCTGATTCAACTATTTAGGAATCTTCAAAAACCTTTTTTTTTGGTATTTACCTTAGAGCTTTTCTGAAGTACAACTTTTCTGAAGTATTGATGTAAATGTTTACCTTTTGAAGTGAATGTGAATATCCATTTTTATTGCGTTGTTTTGTGTTTCATGTTACTGAGAGCTCTACTGAGCTCTTCCTTCGGTCTACTCCACGAGTACTGAGCTCTCTTCCTTTGTTCTATGTCATCCGTCCCTTGCCCTTTTTTGCTTTGAGGAGTACTGAAGTTTTATTAAAGTAAATTTGTTGAAATTGCAAGCCAAAACAAACTACTAGCTCATTGAGCTCCTTTCAAAGGAAGGGAACTGAGGTCTGACCTTTGGAGATTTTCATACTTGTGTTGGTTGGATTTGGCGAAGGGAATGAATGACTTGATGCTAAGGTCCATC